CTTTAGAGAGGGGCATCATGCTGGGTAGAGTGGGGGGACAGCGCAGGAGGGGAAGACCCTCTATGAGGTGGATTGATTCAGTGACTGGGGTACTCGGGATGGGTGTGTCGGGGGCAATGAGATTGGCACAGGATAGAGCACGGTTTAGGGCTGTTGTACATAGGGTCGCTATGAGTCACAAGTGACTCGACAGCACGTAACAACAACAACAACGCGAAACCTGTACTTGGACCAAGAGGCAGTAGTCAGAACAGAGCAGGGCAACACTGCATGGTTCAAATTTGGGAAGGGTGTACGCCAGGGATGTGTCCTGTCTCCATGACGTGCTTAGAAACACTCCCCCCCCCCCAATTGTTTATGACTGCCATATACAATTGAGCGTCAGTCGTATATTTGGATGTGAGAATTATCACATTTTTGTCAGTTTTTCCATGAAAACTCTCGACAGCACAAAAAAGCAATGGATATGTTATCTCGAATATTATAATTTTTTTATGTATTACTGAATAATTAACAAATGCATTAGTACACTTTATAAGAATGAAGTTCTTTTTTTAATTAAAATGTGTGGGACGGCTATAGCTGTCATTTACAGCAATGTGTTAGGAACCAAAGCAACTCATGCCTAAGAGCATTTATTTAAATGGGAAATGAAACAGCCCGAGTTCAGAAAGTCCTTGTGGTTTTCCTCCTACCTGTATTACTACAGCATTATTATTGGTTCTTGTCTCTATGGTTCTAGCTCCCTCTTTAGGATTTTCATTTCCACTTGGTCCCATGGGCTGAACACAACCCAGAGTCCTAAATGATGTCCTCCTGCACACCCTCGTTTTACTTTTATTATTTTCTGAGGAACTATAGTGGTGCAGTGGGTTAAGTGGTAGGCTGCAAACCGAATGGTGGTTTGAACCTACCAGCTTCTAACTAAGAAAGAAGTGGAAGTCTGCTCTCATAGATTTACAGCCTTGGAAACCCCAGAGAGCAGTCCTACTGCCCTGTACTGGAGTCAGAACTGACTTTGCTGGCAGTGGCTAAGGGAGGCTGAGAAGTCTTGCCTTCTGAGTCTATATTCTTTACTAAGACACTCATGGGCCCCTTCCAAAAAGAATAGCCTTCAGTGATAAGAACCTTTTATACAAGCATTTAAATACCAAAGATGAACTGAATGCTGATTACGTTCAAACTGGTGAGCCTTGAGCTGCGTAGGGGACATTAGCTTCATATACCTTGCATTGTTGGCCTGTCATCATTCCCTCTAGGTTCACTTTTCTAAAACCACCACCACCACCACCACCACCAAAGAAACAAAGCCTCATGCTCCACGCATCATGACTGGCTACCCAATGCGAACAGAGAGTGGGGTGGATCTCCCCGATTAAAACAAGCTTGGAAGCAGGAGTGGCATCCACTTCCATAATAGCTTGCCTCCGAAACCCTATGAACCTGGAGAGAGGATGAGAGACACCCAAGCATTGAGGACTTTCCTTCATAGGGTTGCTAGGAATCACCTGCGACTCGATGGCACTTAACAGCAATAATATCAACAACATAGAGAGATCAGCTGGCCCAGTGGACAGAAAGCAATGCTACCAAGCCAAAGGTGGGTGACTTTCAATCCGCTGCCCTTGGGCCTGTCTTTCATTGTTTTTGTTCAGACACTCCTCTAGGTCGTACAGCCCTGGTGTACAAGTTGCCGTCCTGCGTTCACTTGTGGTTGCTGTGAGGCTGAACACTGTGACACTGGTGTGTCAAATGTGTCGACTGGCTACCCAATGCGACAGAGTGGGGTGGAGCTCCCCCATTAAAACAAGCTTGGAAGAAGGAGTGGCATCCACTTCCACAATAGCTTGCCTCCGGAAACCCTATGAATCTGGAGAGAGGATGAGAGACACCGAAGTCCTTCATAGGGTCTCTATGAGTCGCCTGCGATTCGAGGGCGCTTAACAACAACAACATGCTTCACACCCCAAAAGTAAGCAATCACACGGCTGTGTATGGCAAGGAGTCCCAGTGGTGGTGGCCAGGCGCTTTCCAATCCTCGACAGCTCACACCAACCCTGGAAACTGGACGGAGCCCTGCCTTACTCATCGACTGTGTCACCCTCACTCCGGCCAAGAGTACCTATAGAGTAGACTACAGAGCCCAATGGAGCAGGCTGCTGAGAGGTCGCCGGTTCGAGTCCACCAGCCTGTCTCTCCTTCCACAACGCCCTGGAGCCCCGGACACACGAGGGAGGATTGCTACGAGCCCCAACGACTTGCTGGTGGGTTTGGGCAGCGGGGTCCCCTCCCGCTCGGCCAGGGACCCTCTTGCTCGGCCTGGGACCCTCCCGCCCCGCTGAGGACCCTCCCGCCCAGCCGGGGACCCTCCCCCTCGGCCTGGGACCCTCTCGCACCTGCAGTTCTTCAATCTTGGACAGGTAGTACTGGCGGAGTCCACTGCCTGCCTTCCCCTCTTCCAGCTCCATCTAAAGACACAGCGGAATTACTGAGCAGCAGCCTGCACATCCACAGGCGCTTCAGCACAAAGCTTAGCACGGCGTTCGGCAGAACAAGACCCTGGCCTCCGGAGTCCAAGCCTGGGAGCTGAGGCCTCGGCCATCCCTTCTGACCCTCCGCCGCCCGCCTCAACGGAGCTTCTAGGAGACCCGAGAGGTCAGAAGCGTTCGGGGCTGTCAAGTGCTGGAACTTTAAACCGAAGCAGCAGGAAGGCCAGGCGCCTCGGCCCCCTTCTACCCGCGGGCGGCCCGCTCCCCGCTCCCCGCGCTCGGCGGACACCTAGCGCTCCGGCCGCGGCCCTGCCCTGACTCACGGTGGGCCGCGCTGACACAGCAGATCCGGTCTCAGCAGGGCCCGGCCTGGGCTGTGCCCACCCAGCCTGTCCATTCGGCCGCGGCCGGCTCCCCACCGCTCCTTACGCCCGCCCGGGTCCCGGTCCCCGCGCTGGCGCCGCCGTACCTGCTCTGGTCCGTCCAGCGCCATCTTCCCTCTTCAGCCGGGACCGCCGGGCTCTGAGCCGCCGGGCCGCGAAAGCCCGGAGCAGAGGGCAGAAAAGACTTCCGGGTCAAGGGGCGGGGCGTGCGGAAGCCGCGGCCTCACCGCGGCGGCCATGGAGAGAGGGTGGTTACTGGATTTAGGAGGAGTTTTGGGAGGAGAGGAGCAGGCAGGAAAGACTCCCAGACGTTGCTCTCTGGAAGTTTTGTGCGCAAGTCATGGACTTCGCCCTCTTGTCCCAGATTTCCATGTAAACTACCTGGGCGTGGAGTTTATAGAAACTTTATTACCACTTTGCAAATGGCGGAAAGCTTAGTTCTGGAGCCTCAAGGGGCGGAAGCGGAAGTGCGTGTGCGCCACATGTGCCAGCTGCTGGTGTGAAAACGAGTCGAGAGCGAGGTGGCGGCTGTGGGGTCGCGGAGGCGTCTCGGAGTGTGACTGTTGAAAGGAGTGGAAAGCGGGCAGAGACGTCCCAACCACCCACTTTCACCTCGGACTGAGCGACATTCCCCCACTCCGCCATGGGGAAGAAGGGAAAAATCGGGAAGAGCCGGCGGGACAAGTTCTATCACTTGGCAAAGGAGACTGGTGAGCCAGCGTTTACGCGATCAGCGGGCAAACTAGCGGGCCACCACTCTTGGGGTCATCGCCCTCCTTCCCAGAGAGTGGGTTCGTTTGCAGGGAGGGGTGGTGAGAAGTCCTGATGGTAAAGTGCTCGGTAAACTCGGTTTGCTGCGTCGCCAGGTTATCGCTCCCGCGCTGCTTTCAAGCTGATCCAGCTCAATCGCCGCTTCCAGTTCCTACAGAAAGCTCGAGCCCTGCTGGACCTGTGTGCCGCCCCGGGGGGATGGTATGTGGCATCAGTTCCAGCCGTGCACCGGGAGGGAGAGGAGGACGGACTCCCACCCGCAAACGCCGCCCCTCTTTTTGTCACCACGGCATAAGGCTCTTGTAAACCTCGGTGGCCTGCATTGCAGAGCAATGGACCTGGAGGGTCTACACCATGACACGTTCTGGTCACTTCATTTAGCTGGGACTCCTAACACTATGGGTGACAGATTACATGGCAGGGGTGCAAGGGCATGGAATAGGGGGTGAAGAGCTGTTTTAAAAATCTTGTTTACAGGTTGCAAGTGGCTGCCAAGTTCATGCCTGTGTCCAGTCTCATTGTGGGTGAGTGTGAAGTTGTTTCCGCAGTTTGTCCCTAAAAGGGCACAAAAGTATGAGGTATGGAACTTGTCTTACACTGCTCCCTTCCCTGCTTGAGAAACTCTTTGGAATCTTCTGTATGGATTTCTTCCAGGAGTGGACCTGGTTCCAATCAAGCCTCTCCCCAACGTGGTGACGCTGCAGGAGGACATCACGACAGACCGCTGCCGACAGGTAATAGGAGCTTTGTCTCGCCTTTACATGTAGATACTCTTGTTCTTCTATTCAGAGAGACAAGATAAGGATTTTTTTACTTAACCATGCTTTGAATATCACAGTGTGTCTGTGTGATAAAAGCGTAGGTATTTCCAGTACCCTTTCCATTCTTTGTTTATAAGAGTAGTGCTTAAGCCTAAGGGCCCATCAACAAACAAATGGATAGAGAAGCTGTGGTATATCCACACAATGGAATACTACCCAGCATTGAAAAACAAGGAACTCATGCAATATTATTCAAAGTGGGTGACCCTGGAGGACATTATGCTGAGTGAAATATCTCAGTCACAAAGGGACAAATACTGCATGGTGCCACTGTTGTAGAATGGATCTGACATCAGGGTGGGGGTATGACAGAAAAAACTGGATAAATTATGTATATTGTATTGAAACAGATGAGGGAAAGAACAGATTAGAAGTGATATATGGTTGAGTATTATGGTTAGCACAGGAATCCAGAATTAAGGTTGCATAGAGAAGTGTACTCGGGGTGGGGGTTGGGGGGAAGGGACGTGGGAATTGTATACTAATGAAGGAATTTTTTTTTTCTTCTTTCTCTCTTTTCGGAAGGGGAAGCGAGCTGGTGGGGAGGGGTGGGAAGGGAGAAAATTGCGGCAATGAATGAATGGAAATCCAAAACCTCTGTAAAAAAAAAAAAAGAGTAGGTGCTTAGAGTTGGTTAAAGGGCAGAGACCTTCATCGGTCAAATCTTTTCCAGTGGAGCTATAATGAGATAGTAGCTTTCTGAAGACAGATGAATCGTTTTAGTTCTGTGTTTTATACTTGTGCTGGTACAGGAACATGGCCTTTGGTAGGTACTTAATGACTGAACCAGAAGCTCCATTTTTAGCCATTCCAGTGGTTATTGCCGCAATCTTTCTCCTTTGATAGGCCTTGAGGAAAGAACTGAAAACCTGGAAAGTTGATGTTGTGCTCAATGATGGGGCACCCAACGTTGGAGCTAGCTGGGTCCACGATGCCTATTCACAAGGTGTGTAAGGAGGAGAGAGGGGTGTGGGGATGGGTCATGGCCTTGCAGCTTGCAGGAGGCCTTCAGCTGACTGACTCTGTTCCACAGCCCATCTGACACTGATGGCTCTGCGTTTGGCCTGTGATTTTCTGGCTCGTGGTGGCTCATTCATCACGAAGGTTTTCCGCTCACGTGACTATCAACCCCTACTGTGGATCTTCCAGCAATTGTTTCGCCATGTCCAGGCCACTAAGCCCCAAGCCTCGCGTCACGAGTCGGCCGAGATCTTTGTAGTCTGCCAGGGTAAGCATCACTTCTTTTGACTCTGCCAACTTGCTCTGAAAGCATACTCCTAATATACATCTTATCTTAGGATTCCTGGCTCCTGACAAGATTGACAGTAAATTCTTTGACCCCAAATTTGCCTTCAAGGAGGTTGAGGTTCAAGCCAAGACTGTTACTGAGTTGGTGACTAAGAAGAAGCCAAAAGTATGTTTGTGGGTCCTGGAGTTCGGGGGGGGTCCTACAGACACGTGCATAGAGGGCTTACCATCTTTACTCTTCCCAAAGGCTGAGGGCTACGCTGAGGGTGACCTCACTCTCTATCACCGGCTTTCCGTCACGGATTTCCTGCGAGCTGCAAACCCAGTTGACTTCCTCTCCAAAGCCAGCGAGGTGGGTCTCCAGGCTGGAGGCGGGTTACAAAGGAGCCCCAGAAATATGGCCTATGAGTCTCTCCTGACTTCCCCTCCCCTCACAGATCACACTAGATGATGATGAGTTGGCACAGCACCCAGCCACCACTGAGGACATCCGGGCATGCTGTCAGGATATAAAAGTGTTGGGGCGAAAGGAGCTCAGGTTTGGGACGGGTGTGCCTTTAAGAGTCACTGTATTGCATCTTTAAGAAGAGCATACTGCTGTGTTTGGGGTGGGGGCCAGAACCCTGTAGTTTATGTGGTTCAAACCTAAAATCTGGGTTGGGACATACAAGAGGGCAGAGACAAAAGGAGACTATAGATCGGTGATGACATTTTTTGGAGCAGGTCCCTCCTGAACTGGAGAACAAAGCTTCGGCGACATGTGGCCAAGAAGTTGAAAGAGCAAGCAAAGGCACTGGACATCAGGTGAAGGGACCAAAGCAGTTGGGTGTTGACAGGGTGTCCGGAGGGGAGAGCATCTGAGAAAATAATCAAACTCCTTGGATTGTTCCGTCAGCCTCAGCTCTGGAGAGGAGGAAGAGAGTGAGGAGGACAAGTCAACAACTGGCACCATGAGGCAGCCCTCCAAAGACGAGGAAGAGGAGGAGGAGGAACAGCTGAATCAGACTCTGGCAGAGATGAAGGCACAGGAGGTAGCAGAGCTGAAGAGGTAAGGGGAACAGGAAAGGAGCTTGGGGAACACCCTCCAGGGCCCCTCGATGTGTGAAGAGAGAAGAGGAGCCTGGAGGAGTTGGACTGGGAACCTTCTGAGCTGGACACGATGAAGGTTCAATCCCATAACCCCATCCCCTCAGGAAAAAAAAGAAGCTACTCCGTGAGCAGAGAAAGCAGAGAGAGCGTGTAGAGCTGAAGATGGATCTGCCTGGGGTTTCCATCGCAGATGAGGGAGAGACTGGCATGTTCTCCCTTCGCACCATCCGTGGCCACCAGGTGGGGTGTGGCTAAGGGCAGATGGGAGTTCAGTGAATTAGATGTGGGGGCTGAAGGTGGGTGGATGATTCCAGGTTGATTGCTGTCTTTACAGCATGACTTGGTAAGGAGGGACTAAAGGGTGAAAAAGAATTTTTGTGTGTTCACAGCATGGAACTGTACATCTACAATGATGAAATTAAGATTTAGGTTGGAGGAGCCTATTGGCATAGGGCATAATGTGTTAGGGTGCTTACCAAAGGTTGGTAGTTCAAACCCCCTAGCCTTGCCTTGCAAACCAGTAGTCACTGTGAGTGACTCAACTTCGTGGCGATGGGTTTGGTTTTATGCTTCACTGTGGAACAAGGTCCAGTGCTGTGCTCTGTAAAGACTACAGCTGGGGAACCCCAAAGGAACAGCTCTCTTAAACATGTGGTGCTGCTACAAGTTAGAAGTGAGTCATTGGCAGTGGGTTTAAATGGATTTCTGTGGAACTAGCATATCAGAATCAAGAGGTGTTCTGTGCACATGTAGAGTGTAGTAGATCCAACCTGGGCTCCTAGGTTACAAGCTCTTGCTTTTCCTTGGAAACAGTTCTTGAGTTGATTTTACTCCGTGCCCTGCTGCCAAATTCTAGAAGGCTTCAGTTGAACAAGACTGTCAGCTTTATGCTGTCTGGGCTTCTTTACTCAGCCTAGTTACCTAGGTTACAGCCTAGAGTCAGAGTCACCTCTCTTGGCCTAAGTGTCCTTACCAGTAAATATAAACGGATACTGTTTCGGTGGAGATCATCCAAGATAGTGAACACACTCATTCAGTATCCTTGGCCTTTTATTTTACATTTCAGTTGTTATCAGAAATCACACAAGGGGATATGAGCGCTGCAGACACTTTTCTGTCTGAACTGCCAAGGGATGACATCTATGTGTCAGATGCCGAGGATGAAGACGATTCCTCTTTGGATAGTGACCTGGATCCAGAAGAGCTGGCCAGAGGTGAAGGCCAGCAGGGTCGAAAGGACCAAAAGTGGTGAGTGGACAGCCTGTTGGGTGGCAAGAGTAATCTAATCCTGACAGCCTCAGCTGATGTCCTGATGCTGAACTGGCACGTGCTGCCGGGGAGGGCACAGGGTCCGCATCACTGTTTTTGGGTCCACAGTGTGCAGTCTGTTGAAGCAGATGATGATAATGAGGAGGAAGAGAATCCACTGCTGGTCCCTTTAGAGGAAAAAGCAGTTCTGCAGGAAGAGCAAGCCACCTTGTGGTTCTCAAAGGTAGGAAGTGCAAGATGGGACAGGTTAGGGAACTGGCATTCCCTGAGAAGGGAAGCTCAAGATCCCCCCAATTACAGGAGGGCTTCAATGGGATTGAGGATGATGCTGATGAAGCCCTGGAGATCGGTCAGGCCCAGCTGTTGTATGAGAGTCGTCGAAAGGGACAAGAGCAGCAGCCACAGCCACAAGCACAGAAGCCTTCAAGTTTGAAGACTGAGAAAGTGTCTCCCCAGTGCCAAGATGAGTCCCCTAAGGAGACAGAAGCTTCTTCAAGGATAGACTCTCTCCCAGGGGCACAGGCCACCACTACCCCTGGACGGGAAGATGACAGCTCAGAGAGTGACAGCAGTAGCAGTGAGGATGAAGAGAGGTGAGTGCAGCTGATGGCAAAGGGATGACAAGTAGTAAAAAGCAGAAAACTGTTTCTGCCAAGTTTTACCCATCACCCTCATTTAGCTGGTCTTGGTTCAGCCTGGGCAGCAGGGGTTTCCCCAGTGGTTTTTAGTAGGAACCAGGGTTGAGGCAGATGGTATGGTCTTAAGGGGCCTGGGAGTGGTGGACAACTCGCTGCTTATACCTCACCTCTGCTGCTGTTTTAGGGAACCACGCCGAGGGAAGAAGCGGAGCCGGGGAGCCGAGGCTGATGATGGTTTTGAAGTTGTGCCTATTGAGGACCCACGTAAGAGCTGCTTTCCTGGTTGAATGGGAGAGGAGACAATGGAATTTTCTGCTGTGGGAGCCACTATATTTTTCCCCCCTTCCCTTTCTAGTCAGATACAGGATACTGGACCCTGAAGGCCTTGCTTTAGGTGCCATTATTGCTTCTTCTAAAAAGGCCAAGCGAGACCTCATAGACAACTCCTTCAATCGGTAAGGGGTTCAGAGAAGCAGGAGCAGCCCGTGGGGTAGTAGTGACATCCTTTTTTACCAAGGCCCCTGGTTCCAAGTGTCATGTTCTCTGCCATAGGTACACATTTAATGAGGAAGAGGGAGAGCTTCCAGAATGGTTTGTGCAGGAAGAAAAGCAGCACAGGATAAAGCAGTTGCCTGTTGACAAGAAAGACGTAGAACATTACCGAAAACGCTGGCGGGAAATCAACGCACGCCCCATCAAGAAAGTGGCTGAGGCGAAGGCCAGGAAGAAACGCAGGGTAAGTGATGGTGCCTGAGATCAGGGTGGAAGGACCAGGGATGAGGTCACCTGATGGAAAACACTTTCACAGATGCTGAAGAGACTGGAGCAAACCAAGAAGAAAGCAGAAGCTGTGGTGAACACAGTGGACATCTCTGAGCGGGAGAAGGTCGCACAGCTGCGAAGGTAACTGGGGAGAGGGTAGCCACAAGGATGAATGGGGTCAGAGAGCAAGAAAAGCCTCCAACCTGTTTCTTCCATTCTAGTCTCTACAAGAAGGCTGGGCTTGGCAAGGAGAAACGCCAGGTCACCTATGTTGTAGCCAAAAAGGGCGTTGGCCGGAAAGTGCACCGGCCAGTTGGAGTCAGAGGGCATTTCAAGGTGGTGGACTCAAGGATGAAGAAGGATCAAAGAGCCCAGCAACGGAAGGTGCAGAAGAAAAAACAAAAGCGAAAGTGAGGAATGATCTAGAGTTTCCAGCTCTGGCGCAAGCTCAGTCCTGCCCGTGCTTCACCTGTCTGAAGACAGTCAGTGGGGGGTACTCTCGCCTCCCATTGCGTTTTATCGCATCGCCAGTCCTTCCATGAATAGAGAGCACTGGATGGGATGGCCTTTGTAATCTATTACTGGGCAAGTGGACCCCAAGTGTTCCTCTTAATAAAAAGTTACATTCTACGTGTTTTCTGTGTCACACTGTTCTAAATATTTTTTAACTAAGCATGGCAATTGAAATAACAAACAATCCACAGGTCCCAGTAGTAAAGCATTTACTAGAGCAAGCAGAAAGGAATGCACATCTTAAAGAAACCTTCACAAAGTCACGAAATTTGAATCTTGTATTTTTCCTTGTATAAACAAGATAGAACAAAAAATTATTTCAGCAAAAGATTTTTCTATCACGTGGCAAGTTAAAAAAAAAATACAATGAAATAGAAGACACTTTAAAAGCTGTTCTGTATTTTTAAAATTTTTTAATTTTCACATCTCAGAGCAGAGCAACCCTGTGGAGCCATTCCCAGGACTGGCATTCCTTCAGTCATCAGTTCTGGAGCCTCAAAGCCCCTCTCTGGAGGGCTACTACTGCTGCCTGCATGTCTCAGGGCTGGACACGAGCCTGGCGGGGAGCCACTTAGCATCTACCCTTCAGTGTCTGGAGCCAAGTGTTCCCCATCTCATCCCAGTGGCCTGCATGTGAACAAGCCAACACCTAAAAAGGGGGCTGCTTGGCTACAGTTAGGTAAAAGAATTCTTATTTGTGGGTGTTTATAAGGTGAGTTTAGTAGAAAATAGACACTACATATAAACTTAAGAGTGAGTTGTGTGCCTTATAAGGCCTCTCATTCCAAGGTATCCTCTAGTGACCCTCATGACAACCCACCCAGAACCAAGTGTCCCAGCTCTCAATGTTTCCAAGGAAATACCAGAAGAATAATGCAAACAAAGGGGTAACATCTCCAAGCTCCAGCTCTTCACTAAGGGCAGGGAGACCTCACACTCTGGATCAAAACCCAGCCCTGAGACATGGTTTCAAAAATCTTTCTAAAAATAAAATTAAAGACGCTTTTACTTTGAGCACATCCTCTCTAACTGTCCCACCGGCTTTTCTTGCGTTTGGGTGGCTCTGGGACAGCAAAGCCATCAGCTGTTTTATCTGTTTTGCTGTCCACCTTGTCCGTCTTGCTGCTGTCCACCCTGGGGTCCATCCTGCTCTCACGATTACAACCTTCTTTCCGGCTTTCACCGTTCCGCCCATCATTTGCACCCCGGCTCTCTCCATGTCGGCCTCCGCTTCCTCCGTGCCTGTTGTCCCCATGCCGATGGCCATCAGCGTGGCGGCTGCTGCTTTCTGGGTAGCGATAACCTTCCCCATGGCGACCACCATCTCCGTGACGTGGGCTGTCGCTATGCCGACTGAAGCTGTCTCCATGGCTGTGGCGGCTGCCACCCCGGTTCTCAGCGTATCTCTCTCTTTTCCCATTGCCTCCCCCAGGCCCTTCTCGACTGTTACTTCCTGACGCTGTGTTGTTGACTCCCAGGGCTCCAGGAGCAGGGTAGGTCACTGGGGCACTGCTGATGTTCCCAGTATTGCCAAAACCTGGGATGCTCTTGGCAGCACTGGCGAGGGGGCTGTCGGGGCTGTTGTGGCCCTGCTGAGCTGAGTTGGTTGGGACAGAATTCAAGCTCCCTGCACTGGTCCATCCACTTGCCCCAGTGGCAGAACTTCCAGCCTTCTGATTGCTTAAGCTGGCAGCAACAAAGTGGCTCTTGTACTGCGACTGAAAGAAGGAAGAGTATATAAACCAGGGTCAAGCAGCTTCAAATACACACACAAAGCTGTAATAATTGAGTGTATTAAAAACTCTACTATGCTGTCCTGGCACTGTGACATTAATACCCTAGTCTCCAGTCCCTGTTCCAAGATCTGAACTGAAATTGGTTTGGACAGCTTGACTGACTAGAATAAAAGCATCAATGAAGAGTCTGCAATAAATAAAATGCATAGTCTACATTCAGAAAAGTGTGACTTCCAGACTCCCCTGTCTTAACCAGAAAGACGGCCATCACTCTGAGCTCATATACAATGCCTTCGAGGTGGTTAACACTGCAGGTGGTTGAGCAAGCAAGAGAAAGAGCCCTGCTGCTGCCCAACTGTTCTGGGCGGTAGGTGTGACTGAGCCAACCACCAGCAGGAGTGTTCTCCCTGGACTCTACACCTACACCTTTACCTAACTTACCCTGACTTACTGACACTATAAGCCTTAGGCTTAGCACTTAGTCCACAAGCCCAGCCCCTGTCTCTGGAAAGTGAGGCCCCATCAGTCCCAGAATGACTCCTGTTAAGTTCTTTCATCTCAGACCTGGAAAGCTGCTTTCATCGCTGTCAGCCGATCTCCCATGGCTCCTGAGGAGGGCTTGTATGCTTCATAATTGCTCATCACATTGTTATTATTTCCTCGATCCTACAAAATAAGCAGGCACATCCATGAAGATAGAAAAAGAAACACTGACACAGGCTGGCCCTTAAAAAACGGAAAACTGAATCACAGTGAGGGCACTGGGAATTTTTAGAAAATTACTTATGCTTTGGAGAAAAAAGGTACAGTAGCAAAGAGAATGAACTCTTAAAACAAGAAGGGTCTGACCTCCCACCTCAACACTTATTAGTAAATGTGTGCCTGTCTGCTTGTACGCATTAGGTGGCTGGAGTTTCAGCTGATACTTGCATGTGACTGCTTGGAATGGCCCTGGCAATATTATTAAATGCCAGCTAATAAGTTACCATCATCACTGCAATAGGTAATATTGTCTTGTGTCCAAAACATCAGGCTAACTATAATGCTCAAGTAGGTTGGTAGCTTTTTTACTCTGGTTTAGGAGTAAAAGTAACAGAAACTTGAACCATTTTGAAAGTCAGTCAGAGGAAATTTTCACAGCCTAGTTTACGACAAAGAATCAGGTCTTGCTTTTTCTCTCTAATGTTACTTCCCACACAACGCTGGAATCATTCCTTAGTTACATGATATTACAAAGCAATCGTGTGGTAATGTTTTCCCAGTAGCAGGATGCAGTGCTGCTGATTCAGCAGGTCTGCATGTCTAGCAGGTTCTCAGGCAGTTGTGCTACTGGCCCAAGAACTACCATTTGGGAACCCCTGCTAGACTAGATGGATTTCTCCTGAGCAAACCTCCTCAGTCTAGCACATACACAATGCAGTCACACTTATAGCTGATTAAAACACCAGTTCCTGCTAGGCAGGCTGTATAGTTACTGAGGTTCGCATATGCAGATCAGGACAGGCCAAACCCAGGCTTCATGACCATCCCCAGGGTACTGCTTTCTTCTGGACTCACTGTGTTCTCAGAACCCAGGCCAGGCCGTTCCCGGTAGCCAAGGCCTCCACCACCGATGTTCAATTTCTTGCCTTTTCCACCTTTGAAGCGAGATTTCCGAAACCAGGCATTCTGCATGGAATGCAATTCAAATATCAAATTCATTGTGTCTGAACACAAATTCAAACATAAAAGTAACTGGAGGGAAGACCACCTTTACACTTTAAGCAGAAAAGGGAGGAACTGTTTATAGAAACCTTCAATTAGTTCCTTTCTGGTAGTTTAGTTCACCATGCTAGAAGAGGTTGAGATACCTATCAAGGCTGCTTTCAATGCTCCTTCTTTATGGAAGTGAAGCACAACAGTCATTTCCCACTTCTAACTTAAGATTTTACTCTTGTATTTGAAACATGTACATGCCATAAATATTTAGAACTTTTAAAAACTGGTGGGTTTTAGAAGTGGATGAAAAAAATGTGAGGTGAGGTTTCTTGAAATCAACTCAAAACAGATTCCCAGGACACAGTGGGAGCCATACAAACAAAAATATTATTTACCCACAGGGCTGTAAAGTTTTTAGTGAAAATGATCATTCCTAGAACACTACCAATCAGAGCTCTCCATTAAGAATGGAAACATCTCTGGGAAAGTTCAAGGTCTGTCTGACAATCAAACTTAGTGAAGTGGTGCACTAAGAGCCAGGCAAGCTGGGGGAAGGCACAGCTCCCGGAGGAGCCCAGGAGGCTCTCTCTGCCCAGGAAGAGGAGGGGAGTCTTTTCCCCTGATGGCACAGCAGGTTCTTATGAAGCTTAGGCAGTAACTACACTACCCTACATTATTAAATTCTCAAGGCTGCACTCCTTTCAGTAAAGAGAATTTCTTGATCTCTTAAGAGGTGTTAAGAGCTAACACTTCAGTGACAAACACATCACAACTCCTTGTAAAACATATTTTATGTTCCCACTATGCTTACAAAGACTAGAATACAACTCATTTGCATCATGAAGCCTGCAAGTACTAACACAACTCAAGATTTGTTAGTTTTGGCCTGGAACACACCGAGAAAAAGGTGAACAGTAAGGTCAAAGGCTCAGGAGTTAAGTCTACCAGACAGGTTAGGAGTTCTAGTGACACTGGTTAAGCAGTTGGCTTGAATGGTGGGCGATCCAAACTCACTGAGTGAGTGCACTAGCTAAGGACATGGTGGTCTGATTTTGTAAAAATTACAGCCAACAAGTCAAAAGGGGCAATTCTACCCTATCACCTGGGGTCAATGAGTACAAGCTGACTCAATAGGACCAAGACCAAGACGACCACCACCACCACACATTCTGTTATGTCAAAGGAGACTATGGGGTGAGGCAATGGAGAGAATAGCAGCCAACGCTGAAATTATGTTACTCCTACATGTGAATGGGCCAAAGATACAGATTTTAGCACAAAGATAGCTTTTCAACACCACAATTCCCTTCCCCACCTCCCACTCCTCCACCTTAGATTCTATTACTTATCAAAGAGCAAATTCTTATTGAACATTCTATGATTTTGAGCACTCCAGAGCATCCAGTCCTCACCTGCATTGCCAAATCAAGGAGCTCCTTGGAAACATGCTGATTGGCTCCTTCCAAGTTCCGGACCAGGTCACCAGCAAAATTACTATCTTTGGGGGTGAGCAAGGTGTAAGCCACACCCTTCTCACCAGCTCGCCCTGTGCGGCCAATCCTATGAGTATGGGTATCAATGTCTCGAGCCACATCATAGTTGATAACAGTCTTAATTGAAGGAATGTCCAGGCCACGGGCTGAAATAAAAAAGCAACCAAAACCATTCATGCTTCTCCAAGAATCAAAAGAGAAAGTAACCAGAAATGCTGGCTCTAAGGTCTCACAATGAGGTAGCAAACTGCTGTCTAAGGAAAAGGCCTTGTATCTTTTAACAACAGTAAACTTCCCCGCCCTCACTTTTCTATATCAAAAAAATGAAAACTCATTTCACATATAATCTTGAAGGCCAGAAATTCTCTCCGTGCTCGGAGAAGATGCCAGATTTTCAAGTGTGTCTACTAAAATTGGACAGAACAAAGGCAAGAGAGCACTCTGAAAATACATTCTGATCTGAAAGCACACCCAATTCATTCAATGGAAGATACCAACAGTACACAGACACACAAAGGCATCTCCACCATGAAGCCACCGCAGGCTTTTTCTCCCGAAGTGCCCTCTACGCAGTGGTTCTTTGATGTAGACCAGAATGGAGAGTAGGTGAAGAGCAGTGCCTGGAGCTCAAGTTTGTAATCACTGTCTTCTGCTCAGGTAAGACAGACACAGGCTAGTGTGTCCTTACCATATGAAGCTTACTGAGGAAATTCATACTCTACCTGCAACATCTGTGGCCACAAGGACCGGGATGTCCTTTTTCTTGAAGTCTGAAATGACCTTGTTTCTTTCACTCTGATCCATGTCTCCATGGAGCAAGCCAAGATTATGACCTTCCTGCTTAAGGTTATTAGCTAGCTCTTCTGCATTGGCTTTTTTGGTAACAAACAAGAGGACACTTCCTGACGAGGTGAACTCCACCAGTCGTCGGGTAAGCCAGTTCCATTTACTAGGCCCAGAATGGAGAATCTCCACAAGCTGTGTCACATCTTCATTTGCCTATGGAAGAAATGAAATGGGCAATCATGAAACTAGTGTCACATGACCTGAACAAGGGTCAGACATCAGTTTCTACTTGAAAACCCCTGAACTCCCTCCCTCTCTTCTGGGGCATTCCTTGAGCAAGTACAGTACACTCCAAAACTCAGTGCCCCCGCCCCCATGATTTTTCTGTTTTCTATCTGCTCTGGTGTATACGTATACTCACATAACTAATTTGTAAGCATGTGTTTGACGTGCAGGTGGTATAGCACTGGTCTGTGCGTTGCTGTACAGAGGTATCTCGTGGTTGTGATGCTAAGACTGTGACAGTGATGTACAGTGGTACAATGGTAATGGGTACCCAAGGTGGACAGTGTTGGCTGGAGTTTCCCGACTAAAGCAAGCCTGGAAGCACAAGCGGCATCCACTTCCGAAATGGCTTGCCTCCGGAAACTCTTATGTACGAACAGTGCTCAGGCCATATGTTCACAGGGTCGCTGTAAGTCATCTAAGACTCAACAGCACCAAACAACAATAACAACGACAACGAGAGAGCTACGTTGGCCTAGTGGAAAGGAAGTTATGCTACCAAGCCAAAGGTGGGTGATTTTTTTTTAAGGTGGGCGATTTTAATCTGCGGCCCTCGGCCAGGTTCAAATTGTTTTCCTGTCAAACATTGTTCTAGGTGGTATAGCACTGGTCTGTGTGTTGCTCTACAGAGGAACTCATGGTTGCTGTGATGCCGAAGACTGTGACAATGATGTGCCAATCGTGGTAATGGGTACCCATGGTGGACAGTGTTGGCTGGAGTTTCCCGACTAAAACAAGCCTGGAAGCAGGAGTGGCATCCACTTCCGAAATGGCTTGCCTCCAGAAACTCTATGTACGAACAATGCTCAGGCCGTTCGTTCATAGGGTCGCTATGAGTCGTCTACAACTCGATGGCACTAAACAACAAGAACGATGCCTTGCTTGCAATTTGTTCTCATATGCGCACTCAGATTACTCCTAAGAGAGTAAAGCTCCTCAATGAAAGTCTTTCAGAGTATTACCAATTCATTTTTAGCTTTTAAGAAATAAAGGGAATTTTCAAACATTTAAAAAATGTGAGATGATACAGTTGAACCTCAGGTATCTGTCATCCAACTTTAACAATTACCAACATTTTGCCACTAACACTGCTTTATCTACCTCTTTCCCCTGAAGCTAATAAAAAAAAATCACTTAATCTGGAAATATATAAAAGCATTATGATTCTCTTAATGGTAAGAAAGTAATCCCATGTCTCCATAATGAGGTCTCACCCAGCCCTACTGAATTACCTCTCCAATATCTCCCTGCACTACTCGAATAGGATCAATCAGGATGTCTCTGGCCAGTTTTTCAATCTTCTTCCGAAAAGTTGCACTGAATAAGAGAGCTGAAAGGTAAAGTATATTCTGTTAAAGAAACAACAGAACTTCTTTGCTGAATTCTCACTAAGTTTCCTACTGATGATAATAAGCAAAACACCAAACCAAAATACCTATCTGAACGTTTAATTTCATTAAAAATTAACTGACTAGAGAAAAAAAAATGCCCTTTTTCTGTGGATTTCAATGTTGCTGACAAAGCAGATAAACCAACACCATCGCGCCCCTTATAGTTCTCACGAACACACTCCCATGATCATTTTCGCTTATGTTAACAGAGAGTGCTTATGGAATATTAACAGCTGTTCATTTTAAGTATAAACACAGCTTAATAAAGCTGCTTGATACATACTCTGTCTATCAGGACGGACATGGCTTGCAATGGATCGCACCTGGTACTCTGCAAGAAGGAGAAGAGTTAAATCAATATTTTAACTTGGTGTTACAGTTGTGGTGTCTGGAAGAAATAATTTTAATAAGAGGGAGAAACCTGGGAAATTTGTAAACTCCTGGACATAGTGGGTGTGAAACTGGAAAAAATTTTCCTTCTAGCTACCCTGACTGGGTCTGGTGGTGTCTCGATCCATACATATGGCTCTTTAGACAAGAAAGGATGAGCCTTGACTGAGCTGACTAGCACCTACGTAAGAGGACTGAGCATGACCATGACTCATTTTCCTGAGAGCAGTGCTCAAAACCTCCAATGTCTTAGCTATACCTCTTCTATCTAACCCTTCCTAGGAGTATGTTTAGTTTCCGTCATACAGAAACATAAATTAGACAGACATTTTATATATATATAAAAAAGACAGACATCCTCTGTTTTGGATGGAGACAAGGGAGATCTGGTGGCCTAGTGGCAAGAAGCTGTGCTGCAATCCTGAAGGTGTGTGGTTCGAATCCACCAGATGCTCTGCTGGAGAGGGTGGGGCAATCTCCTCCTGTACCAGTCAGATCTGATTCAACGACACAAAACTAAAACCACCACAAAAAGAGGACAGAGACATTCATACCAAAACCCATGTCAAACATTCGATCTGCTTCATCGAACACAAGGTAGGAGACTCTTTGAAGATTGGTAGCTTTCTTCTTCACATGATCAATAAGTCGACCCTGTAAGATCCACAAAAAGGAGCAGTCAGAATCTAAAGCCTTAGAACTTTCTATAGGTCTCCATTCAAATCACTGCTGTTTCAAATTTGGCAATGAATATAAAATTACTTTTTTATAAGAGTTTTATCACTGTTATTTAGCTTACTTATTAATGTTTTAAGAAGGCTGGAATCTCGTTTTGAATGAATGAACTCAGTATAATCTTACTTACTTTGGTTTAAAAGCCTAAATGATTACTCTTCAATTGGTTATTTCCCCTTGCACTCCCCCTACCCCCAATTCCCTCCTCTCCTCCAACTCACCCCGCAATGCACTACTTTTTTTTTAAATATGTATTTGTAATCTGTACTACTGAGAGGGTACTGACTGCAGGGTGCCTTATGTGATTTGTGTTTTTTTTACAGAATCATCTAAAGTGATACATACATTTTTATAATTTAAGTGACATTTAGATACAGTAATAACTAGATACTTAACCTAGTAATATGTTTTACATTGCAAAAACATGTTTCTAAATTTGTGCTGCTGGCTAAGGGCTAACATTTGAAGTCTGACTATGTACTACACTATGCACATAGCCCAAGAGAAGAGAAATTTAGAAAACACAGCTTAATTCTTCCTTTACACACATTAGGATTTTAGTATTTGTGGAAAAGTGGACAGAACAATTTTTGTGAGACATGATCTGATGTAAAGCCTACTGATGAGTTTAATGATCAGAATGAATACTTTTGGGGAATTCAGACCATACTCGGAATTTTTGTTTATGATGCTTATGGTATTAACATAACCATTTCCTGAGAGTATGAAAATCTAGTTGAAGCAGAGGGGATATGGAGTTACTAATGTATTTGACACTGACATCTAACCAATGAAAATGGTACCAAAGCTTTGGTGTCACTGTAGTTTAAGGTGCAGTCTCTCCCATAATTAACCGTGTTGTCCATACTAAGAGACTGAAAAGCCTTTCAAGCCAAAGACATACTCACTGGGGTGCACACGACAATCTCTGCTCCTTCCTGCAGAGCCTTGGCCTGCTCCCACATGCTCCCGCCTCCGTACACAGCCACCGAGCGAAGGTTATATGCTTTCCCAAACCTCTTACATTCTGCATGGATCTACAAAGTTGTTAATGACATATTAATAGACCACGACCTCTGTCACAACCCAAAAGGAAGTTCTGAAAATTATACAATGCAATGTCACATAAAATAAAAAGCTAGAGCATGCTTTCAAAGAAATTCTACTCATAAGGAAATAAACAGCAATAACAAGCAGAGTACAATTATCAATCTCAGCAAGCTACATGAACTCTTGCTGTGACCGTTCATTTTCCTCCTAATTCTCTTGAACCTGTCACTGACTTTTTACCAAACAAAATAAATTAACACAGGAGGAAGAAAGACTCTGGGTATTTGTATAACAAACAATTCCTAAACCAAATATTTTTCTCTCTTCAACCAGCAGTTTCTAGGGAAAAGCATGCATCAATAGAACAACACAATACCTGCCCAAAAGTCCCCTGCTAGTTCACCCCTGGAAGGTCATACTACACAAAGTACCTACCTGCTGGCAAAGTTCCCTGGTAGGACACACAATCACTGCAATTGGTCCATCACCTGGTTCCAACTCCTTCTGGTCCATTATATGAATCAACATGGGCCATATAAAGGCTGCTGTTTTTCCACTGCCTGTTTTGGCAATACCAATCATGTCTCTACCACTCAACGCTACAGGCACACCCTGGAAAGGGAGGCAAAAAAATATCCTTCTTAAAATTTCAATTACAAAGACACACTGAAGGAACTCTGGGTTAGGATAAATGGCTAATGTCATGCATTTCCAACAGACAACAAATATCCTGAGCTATGCACACTGGCTATGGGATAAGGAAAATCTGGCATTTCTTGATTACAAAGGAAATAACACTTATTCTCTTTGTGTAGATTAGCCATCATTTGGAAACTATGAACGATGCCACTTTACTTGAAATACACGGATGAAGACTGATAAGGACAGTAGCTGATAAAATTTAAAGTTTTCTTTCCTTGAGAATGTGCAAACTACCTCATTCATAGACAAAGTTCATTTTATATACTAAGAAGAAATAAAACTGATTTTCACAGATCACAATAAAATGGAATTTTCAGGTCAGGAAAAATGAAATCAGTCTGAAGTCAGAGGCAATGGAATCGTCCCTGTTAATGAAGTTTTGCTCTACAAACTGTTTTGCCTTATTTGCATAGCACATACTGAATACCATTCTATCTCATCTTTCTTTCATTTTCACTCACCTGACACTGTATAGGAGTGGGCTGTGTATACTCTGATTTCCGAATTTGGTGCATTAGTTGCTCATCAAACCCAAAATGTGCAAAACTGCTTCCTGGTCGAGGAGGTGCAGCACCAGAGACCTACAGATAAAGACAACTTCCAGAAATGACTAATATCAAGAGTAACATTTGAAGTTAGACAAAATCTAGTTTTCTCTTAGTTTGAGTACATGGGTGGCAAAATGGTGAAGCATTCACCCATGGACCAAAGGTTCCACTTTGAACCTACCCAATGGGCAAATCGACAGAAAATCTGGCATCCTGATTCTGCAGAAGTCACCACCATGCAATTACTATATAGAACGGTTCTACTCTGAAACAAGTCACCACTGGCCAGAATGGACTCATAAGCAAACAGTCTGGTGGGATTTAATTTGGGTATGAGAAAGTGAAAATTTATGTTCATAGTAAAAAACAGATACTGTTTAGATAATTACTCCTTAAACTACTTGAAATTAAGTACCTAAAAATGTCTTAAATATTGTTACATAAATAATTTTAAAAGTACCATCTAGTGAATTGGAAAAGGCTATTAATATTCTTCATCTGCTTTCTGTGCCCTCTCCCTTTACATATACTAGAATCAGATGGTAGGCAGAAAAACAATCAATCAAGATTTACTCTTGAAATAAAAAAAGTTCAAGTGAGCTCAGAGAGACTCATGTCCGTACCCACTGCAACAAAAGTATTAGCCAAAGTATTTTCAGCAGAATGTCTTCAGTGAGAGATGGCTGGCTAGTCCCTGTCAGTGCTCTAGCCACATCCCAGTTAACTACTAAAGATGAAGAACGACGCTTACAACTTCCATTTTGACTGTAACAAGTCATATTTCAATTATTTATCCAGGGATGCTATTAATTTCTAATATCTTCTATTCTTATGAAAGTTTGAGAGGGCAAACCACTTAGAGAACAGATAAGCACACATGTACACACACAAACATTGTGCAACAACTGTTAAGACTGCCAAAGGCCTGAAAGTTGTTATAAAAGGAGATATCCAATCCCAGAGGTACGTGGTTCAAATGCACCAGATGCTCTGCTGGAGAAGGAGGGGGCAATCTCCTCCTGTACCAGTCAGATCTGATTTGACAGTACACGTAAAAATACAATAGTGAAAAAAATAAATAAATAAAAGGAGGTATCATCAAGCATCTGTGTGGTAAGGAACCAACATCAAGCTTCACAAACATCAAAGCTGGACAATGAATAAGGAATATCAAAGAACCAACATGTCTGAAATGTGGTGTTGGCAAAGAATACTGAATATACCATGGATAGCCAAAAGAACAAACAAATGTGTCTTGGAAGAAATGCAGCCAGAATGCTCCTTGAAAGCAAGAAGAGTGAGATTTAGTCTTACAAACTGGGCTTGTTAGTAGGACGGGCCAGTCCCCAGAGAATGACATGGTACAGGATTGAGCTGGTTTCATCCTGTTGTACATAAGGTCCCTAAGAGTCGGAGCCAACTTGACAGTAACTATACACCAACCAATTTAGGCTAAGTGCAACCCAAAATATTTTAAGGGGAAATACAAACTGTTATTCTAAAATTAGCACACAAAAGGTTCTGAAAGTTGTTAACTGCTTATTTTTTTTAAATAGCATACTGTATGTAATTTGAGAAGCAAATATATGTTAACCTCAAAACATTCTGAGACACTCTTGAGTTCCTCCTTATTCTAACATCGACTGAATCTGTTTCCTCTTCCTAAAGATTAGCACTCCTACTCTACCTTTAACTCACACAGCATAGTGCTTTAGCACATGGTACATGTTCTGGAAATTCTCACAGTCAAAACCATACAAGTTTACCACATAAAAGAAAATTTAATCCTATCCTAAAACATTATCTGGAAGGTGAAAACAAAGAAAAATAAGATGTGTGAGCCCAAGGATACAATTATCATTCTATTAAAGACAATTCAGAAACTGTAAGAAAAGAAATGATATAAAAATCTGGATTAGTTAACGTTAATACAGGTATAGGTGGTTTTATAGTTGCCTTACCCGAAGATTGAGTTTATGCCGCAGATCTATTAACTGCTGTGGAGTGAGGCTGGTTATCTCTTCATGCTCATTGTAAAAATTTTTTTCAAATGGTGGATAGTCAATCTGCAGGTCCAATTATTCAAAGTTAGTCTAGAATTCAAGAGTCAATCCTGTAAGTTCAATTTTATTACAAAATAATCTATTACAAATATCACATGTAAAACCATAACCAGGTACAGAGAACAAAGGAATTCAGCATATACTCCAAAAAGTAAAGTGTGTCTATCACTCCTTTCCCCAATACACACAACAACCTACCCCCCTTACATGCTTAAGGTCACCAAAGACATGAATGACACTGGAGAGTAAAGAAACTCTAACTGCCAGAGGGCAGTATTTAAAAGAAGAAATTCTGTTCTTTAAAAAATAAAAATGGTCCAGCCAAGCCTTTTCAATTCCAAAGAGGAAGAATCTACGCTACTGCTCCAGCACTTACTACAGTAAGAATACAAAACATTGAAACAATGTCACATGAACTTTGATAAATCATTCTCTTTTGGTATATTTACATATAATTCATACTCTAGATCCAGTTCTCAAACTTCACGGTCTTTAAAAAAAAGACAACAAAAACAACAAACACAAGAAGCTTTTTTGTGTGGTCATTATCACAATATTTATCACATTAAAATGCAAAGTTTTAAACATTAACACATTTGAAAATAATGATAAACTCACTATACATCATTATAAAAATAATATATATCATATATATTTAATACATTATACAAAAAAAAACCTGGCACTGTTTCACATTTTTTCAGATCTCTGAAATAAGAAAGCTCCTATTGCAGTGGTTTTTTTGGTTGATGTCTATGAAGAAAATCTAGATATATAGTTAGATATGAGAATAAAACATTTTTAGAGACTTATGGTTATTTATCTGGTCTATATAAAAAAACTGGTTTGAATCCACCAGCCGCTCCACAGGCAAAGATATCAATCTCCTCTAGTGTGATGACTGCCTCTGAAAATGTGCTGGAGGGTCAGCTATGAGTTCCAACTTGCAGGCAAAGAGCAACAGCAGCATAGGAAAGCATTAAGTGGTCAGGTTTATTTGCATTGTGAAATCTCAAAGCCCTGGAGCTTTTCGTACTATAATTCACTAGTCTATTATATACTTTGGGTATTTTACAATACATCGTGTATTAATTATACAGAAGATGTTGGCTTGCTCAGGTATGCAAATCTGACATATTTTACTATATAATATTAAAAAAACCAACAACAAATAAAAACACATTTTTAAGGTCAATGCTAATTTCATCAGAAAGTTCTTTTAAGTGTTAGAAAGTTGTTGAATTTGTGGTGGTGGAAACAAGTTTTCCAAATTCTCACTTTTGCTTAAAAAATGTAAATCAGTATCACTAGCAACACTGCCAATTGTTTTTCTTGAAGGGTCATTCATCATGTAGAAAATAAAGCTCAGTCCAATTCACAAAACAAATGCATCAAGTAGTTCACTAAGTGATAACAATATTATACAGCAGAAATGCTTCATGTGTACACTTCCTATTTTGCCATTCTAAAAAGACTTGTAACTCATTGATCAAAATGTATTAAAAATAATCACTTTTATGTTTCATCAGACAGCTTTTTAAGTGAAACTGTGATGGTCTGGCAGTGAGATGGACACACACAAGGCTTTGTTCCAAAAAAACAAGTATATTTGCTTAAAAAAACTTTCTGTAGTCTAAAATCCAATGTGAACAAGTGATACAAGTAAGTGTATCTTCAACAATAGGCTTGGCTATAATGTCTCATGACATTTGTCTCAATCACTTTACAGAGATAAGATCTAAAAGAATAAATATTCTCACAACATAAGGAGTATGAATCAAGAAAACCTAAATACTACGGCTGAATTAAATTGCATTTGCTTGAAACAATCAAATGCAGCAAGAAAACATCATACCTCTGAATGATCAATGGGAGGAAGAGGATCAATAATTTTTTTGGAAGGTGCAATTGGATTTCCATCACTATCATATTCCAGATTATCTTCCTCCTCCTCCTGAACCACACCAGCAGTTGGGTTTTCTGCCATGTATCGAAAATAAGCTTCCTGCAGGAAAGCACAGGGACACAATCACATCTAAGCATAGTTGAGAATGCTTCTGTAATTAATGCACATATTGTATCACAGGATTACACAGTTTAATACCTACCAAAGCAGGCAAGACTGTACTAGCAATACTTCCCTTAATACTAGCAGTACTCAGAGGGGCAATCAGAAGAAATGAATGAGGTAGTTAGAACTACAAAATGACCTAGCTTGTTTAACAGAAGACGTACAAGTAATGTCTGTTGGTTAGCTTTCCTGAGGGGTTGGGGTGGGGGGCTTCTACCTAGGCTGCTGAGAGTTGGAGACATACGCTTCTGGCTTTACCAGTCCAAGTTTGAAAGGTGTCATAAACCTGGAAAGGTAACTCTTACTCTGGTTTCTACAACTGAACAACTGGGGAAAAAAATACTAAAGGACAGTCATTAAATTTATGTTCCATCTTGAAATGCAAACAAAAACGAACTCTTACAAGTAACAATTTAATATAGCTAAAGGCATCAATAGATCTACACTATTCTTACTTTCTGATTTTTCAAAATAAACATTAATTTTGGATTAAAAAAATCAAGCAGGATAAAGAACCTATTATTTGTTTCTGACATCATAGTTGATCAAAAAGTTCCATCTTCAACATGAAGGGAAACGATGGGAATTTTTATATTACCAACTGGCTACATATGTAGAGCAAATGACATTCTCTGCTGAATGTCAGAAATGACATTTCAGTGAAGGCAAGCTCTAGCTTGTCCCCAGTAGAGACTGTGGGGTAAAAAGAAAAGACAGAAATACTGCATTGGAACTCACTTGGTCATCTTCCTCTTCAATGTCATCTCGAATACCCCTGGAAAAACAAGCGGAGAAACAAACTTCCCTGCAAATGTTCCACATACCCAACTTCACACTTAAAGCAAGTTAGTATTGAATTCCATTCAGCTCAGGAACTCTCAACACTAACAGTAACAAAGCAGCAATAAACACACTGTAACCTCTCCACCCATCAAGTAGTGTGGTTTCATTCTCTAAGCATTCCTTTTGGATGGAATAATACAGTATCTCTGGAAATACCAAATTACTAACAAGAATATGAAGAGCTATGAAGACAGATACCAAAGGATCTGAGCCTTGCCAACCCCATACACCAAACACAGTGCAGTTGTGAATAGTATTTTGTAAAAAATCCCAAGCATCTATATCTATTTGTGAATTCCCTCTCCCCGACATTCTTGATGGCCCACAGAAGTAAATGCCTTCAGACAAGATCAATTACCCTGGAGATTAAAAACTAAACAGCTTTTTTGAGTTTAAGCAGTTCATGCAGAAAAGGAGGCCATCACCACCTGCTGCATCTCTCAAGAGCTGTAGGAAGTATGGCTACTTAAATCTTACAACCATCTTTCTTTCTAGTTAAGACTTTCTGCCTAATCTATAGAACTGGCTATTCTTAAGCAACTAACAAAATAACACTGCCAGCACAAGGTAGTTGGAAGAGGATGCACTACATAGGTGAACACTGAAGAGGAGACTGGAACTTCAGTATGGCATAAGACCTTGGGTGGAGACCTGAAACACTGTCAGAAGGAGAAAGTCTCACCATGTCTATGTGTGCATGACAGCAAGAGCTTAAGAGGAGTATATTCAGTAGAGGGCAGAGGAATATTTCATTTCTCAGGAAAGAAAGTTATTACGAGTACTGATTATGGTTGCTAAAGCATGATGCCATTTCTTAAACGAAATCAAGTTGTATTATTAATGATATAAATAGCTTTTAATGTATCACTATTATGTTTCATAATCAAGCATCTAGGATCCTAATTTCTATCAATATCGAACAAATCTAAAAACCTCAAATCCAAACTTTTTTTATAATGCTTATCTAACCCCCCTGTGATTAATTTGAGTTGACTAATTAACTAACATTAAATACTAATCTAATACTAAATACTATTTCATTTAATTGTGATTTTAACAAAGTTAAAAGAAAAGTTCGATTTTCATTTATTCATTGTTGCCATTTTCCTCCCTACCCACACTCCCAGCAAAATATTTTTAAATTATTGCAAATGCAAAAATATGGTCATCTCTGCCACATACAAAACTTAAGATGATGGGAGAAGTTCACATCAAGATATTTGTGTACTTAAAGTTTTATTCTATAAATTTTGGGGCACAGGCTCTGTAATACTTTAGCAATCACTATGGAACCTTTATGAAAGAAGAAGAAAACCACTTACTTCACATTTTTCCTCTCCTTGTCCTTGTCCTCAAGCCTCTTCATGTCCCTAGCCGCCTGATCCTAACAAAACAAAAGGTCACATGTAATCATAGCAACTAAATGAAAACTTTTTTATCATTTTTAGCTTAAAACAAAAGGAATATTCACTTTAGTTAGAATGTAACTGGCCCAGAAAGCATAAAATTGCATTCTGACAATTTTCAGTGAAAATATGAATGAAAAATACGAACACGTGTAAAAAGTGTGCTTAAGTCACAAGTATCATACCTTTAATTATCTTTTCAATTATCTTTCTTAAGTTTATTATATAATTTAGAGCTATAAAGGACTTACGGCCATCCAATAATCTGAGTTTATAGGTAGATTCTCCCCATTTTAAAAATATTGGCTCGTTTTCTTTTTTAAATGATGTTCAGATCAAACAAAAAAACATCTAATTTGGATTCTTTTCTTCCTTAGAGGAGATATAGGTTCTGGCTAAAGGCTTCAGGTAGTAAGTAACTAAGAAGCTGAACAGATTTTACTTCATAAGCAACAGAGTGACAGTTTTTAAGTAAGGGACAGAGCTCAATGATCCACTTTGGTCTAAGCCAAAAGCAGGCCAGCCAAAAGCTAGGATATGAAACAGGATAACTACAGTGGGAGAGAAAGGAAACAACAGATACAACAGTTATGATAAAAACTGACAGAGGTTGGCAAATGAAGAGATGAAAGGCAGAATAATGTATTTTAAGAAAAAGCTAGGCTGGTGAAATTACAAAGCAATAGACAATGAGGTCTGAGCCTCAGCTCTGCCACACAGTTATCAATGAGACATGGAGCAAATGATTTGAATTATTATCATAAAGTTTAGATTTCTTATCAGGTAGTTTTTTATCTGTGTTTGTTCCTGCCTACTTTCCATGGCTATTCTAGGAGAATAAATAAATCAGAGCAAGCTTGGTGATCTGTGAAAAATAAGATCGGGATTGGTAAGTAAAAGGAAAAAGTTAAAAGACATTAAATCAAGGTTCAACCTGAAGTGATTATGAGATTAGAAAAGTTAACAGAAATACGTAAGAAAAGAAAAAGACCTACATAAGAAAGAAAAATGTTTTGTTTAAGTATCTCTGAGACACATTTAAGTATAAATTGGAAAATTAGTCACATGTTCCAGATGTGAATGAGGCCAAAATGTAAAAGAACCTTCATGTTGGAGAAACTGGAAGAAAATAGTAAAAATGACAGGTAATTGGATTTTTAATGACTTTATAAATAATACTGATGTATTAGTTCTTTTTAAAAGAGCTTTTTTACAGAGGGGGTACAGAAACACTGACTGATTAAATGATTTATCTGGGACGTCCTTTTAAAAAACCCATAAAAGAACAGAGAAAGGGAGGAATCAGGAACGGTGGCGGCCCAGTCCATGAGATGTGGTGCTGCTAAACTACAGGCCATACCTCCCTGATGGTTCCAATCCACCAGTGGCAACTTAGGGGAAAGATAAACTATCTCCTCCAACGCGATCTACAGCCTCAGAAACCCAATGGAAGGTCAGCTATGACTTGTTCCAACTGGAAGGCAGTGAGTGGGGTTTTCTACCTTTCTTTTATTAAATGAATACAAGACTGGTATGAAGTTGTTGGTTAAATAAACACAAGACCGGTGAAAAGCTGTTAATTGATAAAAGTTTAACGACAGTACATGGATCATTTTATTCTACTTTTTCATTTTAAATTTTCTATAATAAATATCAAATAATGGCTAAAAAGGAAAAGGATTACAGTTCACACCTATATTATCTCCAACACTGCAACTCAAGCGGATGTTAATGAAAACAAACTACAACGTACAACAGGAAAACTCCCACATGAAATAGCTAAAATAACAAAATGGGATCTAGGGACTAAAATATTAGGTCAACTTGGTTTCTAAATGCAGAATATTTCAAAGACACTTCTGAAGAGTTAACACTAACCTCCACTTCAGCCATGAATGCCTCCAAGGGGTCATCATCACTGTCTGAGTCTGCTGGCTTGGAATGGAATTGCTGGCGGGTAGGTGAATTTTCAGCAGGAATGTAAGGTAAATCAACATTACTAGAGTCTTCCTCTTCATCTTCAAAATATCTGAAAATGAAAAATCAGATATACAAAGTATTTGAGGCTATTCAAACCAATCGCTCATCTAACAAATTTTCTTCATGTTGTATCTATGATAAGGTGTTAAAGGAGCTTTGGTGGAGTAGCACGGTAACCACTGGACTGCTAATTGAAAGTTCTGGTTCAGGCCTTTTGTCCATAGGGTTGCTGTGAGTTATACTCGACTCAACAGCAATCAAAAGCAATCAACAACTTCAAAATTAGTGATGCAAATATTAAATACATAGCAACCCCAGTTTAAATCTTAAAGTACACCTCAAGTCTTCAATGAATATTCCTTAAAAGCTTTAATATTTATTACACATTATATTAATACAATAACACATACTCATTATATCATAAATTTTACTACTAAACAAACATAATGCTCAAACTATTCTGAACTGGTAAAATGACTGGTAGAATAATGACCCTTGGGAAGCCAATACTAAATTATTTGTAATAAACTGAATGCTATTTAAATAAAAAATACAAAACAAACAAAAAATACCCCAAATAGTAATTCTGATCTTAAGAAAATACAGGTGCAACCATTGTGGAAGGCGGTATGACACTTCCTCAAAAAGTTGCAAATAGAGATACCATTTGACCCAGCAATTCCACTACTGGGAATATATCCCAAAGAGACCATAACTGACATCCAAGCAGATATATGCACACCCATGTTTACTGCGGCTCTGTTCACGATAGCAAGGAGCTGGTACAACCTAAGTGCCCATCAACAAACAAATGGATAGAGAAGCTGTGGTATAGTCACACAATGGAATACTATGCTGCATTGAAAAACAAGGAACTCACGCAGTATTATTCAAAATGGGTGACCCTGGAAGACACTATGCTGAGTGAAATATCTCAGTCGCAAAAGGACAATTACTGCATGGTGCCACTGCTGTAAAATGGGACTGATATCAGGGTTGGAGAAAGACTAAGAAAAACTGGATAAATTATGTATACTGCATTGAAACAGATAGGGGAAAGAATAATTTAAAAGCTATGTATGATAGGGTATTATGCAATTAAGGTTGCATAGTGGAGTGTACTTGGGGCGGTGGGAGGGGTGCAGGGGGGACTGTATTATCAAAGAAGGAATTTTACTTTTCAAAGAGAGGAGTAAACTGGGGTGGGGGCAGGGGGGGGAGGCCTGGGCATGGAGAAAAGTGCAACAATGAATTGCATAGTCAATGAAGCACAGACAGACATTCTTCTGGTATTCTTTGCTTTCTGCCAAGATCCATCTGACATTAGCTATAATATCCCTAGTACAATGACCTCTTCTAAATCCAGCCTGCACATCTGGCAGTTCTTTGTTGACATATTGTTCCAAACGTTTTTGGATAATTTTCAGCAGAATCTTGTTTGCATGTAATATCAATGATATTGTTCGATAATTTCCACACTCTGTTGGGTCACCTTTCTTTGGAATGGGAACAAATATCAATCTTTTCCAGTCAGTGGGCCAGCTGGCTGTTCTCCAGATTTCTTGGCACAACTTAGTGAGCGAGCACATCCAGGCCAGTGTCTGTTTGTTGAAATATGTCAATTGGTATGCCGTCAACTCCTGGAGCCTTGTTTCTTGCCAATTCCTTCAGAGCAATTTGTACTTCTTCTTTCATCACCGTAGGCTCTTGCTCCTATGTCATTTCATGAAATTCTTCTGTGTCAGCCAATTCCTTCTGATACAGTGACTCTGTGTATTCCTTCCATCTTCTCTTGATACTTTCTGGATCATTTAAATACTGCCCAAAGTGTCCTTAAGTACTGCCACCCGTGGTTTGAATTTGTTTTCCCACTTCTTCAGCTTAAGAAACACTAAGCGAGTTCGTCCCTTTTGATTTTCTGACTCCAGCTCTCTGCACATTTTATAGTAACCCCTTTATTAGACAAGCAAGTAAAAAAAGGAAAAAAAAGAGATGACTGCTGTTTCCAGACAACTGCAGGCAGATCTGAGATCTTCCTGCCGTAAGGTGTTACTATGCAATAGTTTCAGAGACTTGAGTGTTGCAGCAAACTGTATTCTACCAGTTCTTGCAACTGTGTCGGTAAGACAACTAATATGTTATCAATAAAAGACTTGCATAGACATTAATACTCAAATCCTTTTAGGAACAAGGAATGATAAAACACCTAAGTATTAGATCTCTTACAAAGAAAAGAAAGTGATGATTTACGTTACCAAGAACAATGCAATCCAGTGAGATAAATGAATTTTTAAAATCATATTATAATTATAATTGATAAGCAAGTGGTTGCTCTGTGCCTCAATCTCTGCCTAATATCGCAAAACCAATTTTGTCAAATTACTAGAAAGCAACTTACGCATTTTCCTCATCAAAGTTGGCCCGCTTGGATCCAATTTTGTAGAAAGAAGGGAGCTGTGGTGGAGCTGACTTCCCAAATCCTGAAGAAGAGCCAGTTGCCCCAAAGGCACTGTGAGACTGTTGCGGCAGTTTGGGTTCCTCCTTTTTGCCCGCACTAATGGCAAAACCTCCAAAGCCAAACCCTCTCTTTGTGCCAGGGCCTCCTTTATTCCAATTCATGGTGTCAAAGATCCACCTGTAAGGGTCACAATATAAAATTTAAATTTATGAAATAAACAGTATATTGATTTTTTTAATGTCTCTTTTGAACTTTATGATTTACTGTAAAACTGTCTCACTAAAGCTCCAACTTTCTAGTTAAGCACTATAACCAAAATGATTATATTTTCTAAACAACCAAATCAAACACTTGATTTTAAAACTTCAACTTGTGACACAAGCTGTATGATGTGGGGCAAGTGTGAACTACTTAACAGCATTCAGATTTAGCAAGATGCAAAATGAATATATGCAATGCCTTTTCGTTTTCTCTTCAGAAAATTGGGTCAACTAAAAAAAGACTAAACACCAGGAGTAAGAACACTATTTTTCCCTGGCAGATCTGGAACACACTTACGTACTCACTCTAATTGCACGTGAAAACATAAAATGAATAAGGAACACCAAAGGAGAATCGATATCTTAAAATTATAGTTGTGGTTAAGAATATTGAATATACCATGGACTTCCAAAAGGAAAAAAAAACCGTTTTAGACAAAATGAAGCCAGTGCGCTCTTCAGAAATAAAGATAATGACACCCTGTTTCACATACTTTGCCATGTTATCAGAAGGGGTCAGTTCTTGGACAAGGACATTATACTTGGAAAAGCAGAGAGGGACAAAAGAGCAAGACAATCAACAACACAACTTAAGAACGATACCTAGCAGCACACAATAAGTGCTCAAAACATGTTAGTTGTCACAGTGTCTATTATGATGATGATTTGTGCAAAAATAATTCTCTTCATTGGTACATAGAGAATCCTGGGCTAGACCTCATAGATCTCTTTCAAGGCAAAGAATCCACTCCCAAGTGTATATAACACCAATACTATAAGTGGGAAGAGCGAGGGCAGGTTTCATAAGAGCCAGACCCTGGGTAGGTATAGAAAGATGAAAGCTGGGAAGAGAAGCACAAAGGAAGAAACCATCCTAGAGAGGGAGAATAGAACCATCAAAGGCTACCACTGCCATCGACCAACTCAATTCTAACTCACAATGACCCTACAGGACAGAACAGAACTGACTTGGAACCCCTTTAAGGCACAGCTGACAGGGTTAAACTTCTGGCTTTATGTCAGGATCTAAGAGCATTATCCACTGTAGAAGAGAAAATAAGCATGGAACATAAGACAATTTGGTTAGTTTGTGGTTTGAACAGTAGAAGAAAAAATGTGATATGGTTTCAATGACTTTAAAAATAGGAGGCTAAAGTCAACCGGTTATATAAATGACATTCATTATCACTTCTGTTTTTAGGAAAGGGTGAAAGAGTTCTTCAAATGACAGTTTTAGTGGCCTTCTAAATTGCTTGCTATGGATCTGAGAGTTGGACAATGACTAAGGATGACAGAAAACGAATCTATGCCTTTGAGGGGTGGTGCTGGAGGGGAGTACTGAACATAACAAGGATTGCCAGAAAAACAAGTAGGTCTGTCCTGGAAAAAGTGAAACCAGTTTGCTCATTGGAAGCCAGGATTCTGACATTAACACATACTGTGGCCATGTTGCCAGGAGGGAAAAGTCCTTGGAGAAGGGCATCATGCTTGGGAGGGTCAATGTAGAAGATGAAGACCCGGTATGACAAGGACTGACAAAGCAACAGGAACAATCTTAAGCACAGCAGAGACTGTGTGATCAGTACTAGAATAGGCAGAGTTTTGTTACTGAGTCAGAACCAACCAAGTAACTTTTAACAACAGATTGGACCTTACTACTCCTCTGTTTAAAGCTATCAAGTACAATTAAGACCCACAGAAGCCTCAAAGGCCCTGGCTGTTCCATGCAGATTCTTCTTCTCTCATCTTCTACTACTCCTTCCTTTGTTCTCAGTGTTCCAAGAACACTGGTGTCCTTTCTGTTATCCCAACATGCCCGGCACTGTCATCTTCAAGGCCTTTTGGTCCCTGTTTGCAACATTCCTTTCCTTGGATACTCGCTTGGCTCGCTCACTCCCTTCGAGACTTTGCTTAAACATCATGTAGGGCTCTCCTGACCACATGATTTCAATGTGCTACAAAATCCTCTCCACTTTTTTCAACTTTATCTTTTTTAAGCAGCATAGCTCATAGCATGTGGGCTGCTAACAGAAAGTTTGGCAGCTTGAATTAACCAGTCACTCTGACGGAGAAAAATGGTCAGTCTCCTCCTGTAAAGATTTACAGCACTGGAAATGTGACGGAGGTCCCTGAGTCATCACCAACGGGACCATCATCAACTTGGTTTTTTGTTTTAGTCATCGTCTAACAGTATACTCTACTTAATTCCATTTCTTTGCACTACGTGCAAGAAGTTTCAAGACGGCAGGGAGCCCAGAATTATCCCTAGAACAGCACTACGAAACACACAGTCATCACGAATAAAGGAGCCCTGGTGGGACAATAAATTAAACATTGGACTGCGAACCACAAGATTAGCTTTTCACTCTGCCAGCTGATCTTTGGCAGGAAGATGAAGTAATCAGCTTCCATCAAAATTTGTTACTATTGTGTTGAAACTGACTCATAGCTGACCCTCTGGCAGGTTTTTAGAGGAAGTGTATCGCATGGGAGAAGAATGTCCACCTTTCTCCCACAGAGCTGGTATATTTGAACCTCGAGCCTTTGGGTTAGCAGTACAACTCCTTACCACTAAGACATCAGTGCTCCTATAAAAATGTTCAGATTTGAAAATTTTACAGTGTAGCTAGACTAACTACCCTATAAGGTCACTATGAGTTTGAATTAAACAGGTGGCAGTAGGTTTTGCTGTTGTCGTGTATCATCAAGTCAGAAATCAGTTCACAGCTGAGGCTCCAGCAGGTTTTCCGAGGCAGTTAATAATCGCAGGGGAGAAGTTGGTTTGTTTCAGTTACTAATAAAGGAACCTCAGTGGTAGCTAAAAAAACACCCATTGCTAGGTAGGACATCTATGAAATAAAGAAATGGCAGTCTCCTTCTGCCAAGACTACTGCCTAGAAACCCTACTGGGCAGTTTAGCTGCACCTGGGCTGTCTTATAAGGTCACTGTGGCTGACTCTGAGAAGAATGCGAATCCCAGAACATTTAATCGTGCTAATGCGAAACCTATACTTGGACCAAGAGGCAGCTGTCAGAACAGAGCAGGGCAACACTGCATGGTTCAAAATTCAGAAGGGTGTACGTCAGGGATGTGTCCTGTCTCCATACCTTTTCAACCTGTATGCAGAGCAGATTATCCGAGAGGCGGGGCTCTATGAGGAGAGGCGTGGCGTTAGGATTGGTAGACGATCTATCAACAATCTGCATTATGCAGATGACACAACCTTGCTCGCTGAAACTGAGGAGGACCTCATGCACTTACTGCAGAGGGTCAAGGACTGCAGCCTTCAATATGGCCTGAGGCTCACTGTTAAGAAGACAAAAATTCTCACCACTGGACCAATCAGTAGCATCAGGATGGATGGCGAAGAGACTGAGATTGTTCACAGCTTCAGTTTGCTTGGCTCCACGGTCAACACTCTTGGCACCAGTAGCCAGGAAATAAAAAAAGTATTGCGATGGGAAAGTCTGTGGTTAGGGACCTCTCCAAAATACTCAAGAGCAACAGTGTCTCTCTGGAGACTAAGGTCCGCCTGATACAGCCCATGGTTTTTGCAATCACTTGTTATGCATCAGAGAGTTGGACAATGACTAGGGAGGATAGGAGAATTGACGCCTTTGAGCTGTGGTGCTGGAGAAGAGTATTGAATGGACCATGGCCTGCCAAGAAAGCAAACAGATTCATCCTAGAGAGGGTTAAACCAGGCTCTCCTTGGAGGCAAGGATTCTGGGGCTTCGTCTGACATACTTTGGACATGTTGTAAGGAGAGACAGGTCTTTAGAGAGGGACATCATGTTGGGTAGAGTGGAGGGACAGCGCAGGAGGGGAAGACCCTCTATGAGGTGGATTGATTCAGTGACTGGGGTACTCGGGATGGGTTTGTCAGAGGCAATGAATTGGCACAGGATAGAGCACGGTTTAGGGCTGTTGTACACAGGGTCGCTATGAGTCGCAAACGACTCGATGGCCCAGAACAACAACAACAACTAACAGGGGTTGGAATTGACTCAGTGGCAGTGGGCTTCCTTTCTCAGTCCTAACACTCACACTCACTGCTATTAAGTCCGTTCTGACTCATCATGACCTTGCACTAGGTTTCCAAGATTGTAAATCTTAAGGGAGGAGACCGTGTGTCTTTGTTCTTGTGGAGCAACTGGTGGATCTGTACCACCTACACATGCCTGGCCTTTTGTTTAGCAGCTTATCATACAAGATCTTGCCACTAGCACTGCTTTTAATATTCAATTAAATAACAACGAAGATAGATTTGATCATATTTTGAGTGAAAACTTACTAAACGATTGCGTTTCCATCCATCCTTCATAGATTGTGTGCTATGGTATCACAGTCCCCACATGGTGCTGCACACTTTGCTTTTCTTGACTTTGGTATCCAATCTCCCTGCCTACTTTCTGAGCTTTGCCGAGCATTAATTAAACCCTTTCTACCCCTTTGATCTCGTCTGACTGATAGATTGAAGGACTGAGCTCTCTGGTGTCACTGTTCCCCTGATCAGTATGTCTATCGTTTGAGTTGTTGCCCTACAGAGGTGAGTTTAGTCTGTAAACATTTTTCTTCAATTACAGACCAGACCACAGAGAGCTTGTTCCAGGTAGAGAAATCACATCTTTTGATCCACCACTCAAAAGTCTAAATTTTTGTGCAAAACATTGAATGCTCACTTCTGTGCCAGATAAGCTTCGCTCTGGAAAGGTAAAGTGAATTATGACCCAAAACTGGGCCCGACCTTCAGTAACTTCTTGATAAGGCGATGGGGGCAGAATATAGAAACCTGATGCTAAAATAAGAGGAAGCCAGAAGAAACAGACTAACATCCTAAAAGAAGTGAAGGCATAAAGGTGATAAGGGTAATTTTAATTGCTAAAATTCTCAACCACTA